AATGTCAAACTATCACAGTGGCATGTGAATGCAGCACAGAAACAACACACCTGCACACAGCTGTATTTTAATCTTTTATCAGTACATCAGCGTAAACATTTATAATGTATATATTTATATCTTTAACATCACTCAGCAGAGCAGTTAAAGACATTTTAGTTCAATACGCAGCAATTCTTTACAAAAGAAACACATTAGAGTCACCGTCAGTCGTTATATGTACAAGATATTCATACACAGCATCTGGCCCCGCCCACAACACGTGACATCACAGTGACATCATCAGTATAATGCTGATTATCATCAACCTGGTTATTGATCTGGCAGGTTTCTGATCAACTGAGTCAAAAAAAGAGAAAAGTTTTAGTATTTTAAGCCTTCGTTTGTCAAATGAATAATGTTGAAGAAGCGTTTATTATTACAGCTGACTCATGATTTTATTAGCACTTCCTGGGAACACGTTACTAATTACACTGATTTCCATAAATGTTTTTCTTCCACATTCATCCGTTCGTGGTAGAACAATCCCTCTAAAAGTATCTGATAATCTGCTGAAAATAAAAATGATTTGATTAAGAGATCCTCATCAAAATGTTCATCAATACATATCTGTGATCAGTCGAATCCATCCCATAATATCAGGTAGACGTTATTATTTATTGCAGGTCTGTAGTTTGTCCTTGTTTAGCTCCAGAAACCTGGATCAGGTGCTGACGTGCCACCGTACAGGGGTAATAATCCGGTTAAACCGGGGACCACCAAAGCCTCACATTCAGCCTGCAGAATATATTTATATATTTATATTATAAGTGTTGTGAAGTTAAATGACATTAAAAGCTCTTCTCTGTATTATTCTTTTATTAAACGGTTTGTTTCGCTGCCTGACTGGTGGAGGGTTAATCTAGTTATCATTATGGATTCATTCCCATGTTTTTAGGAGTGTGTTCACACCGATATAGGATCATTAAAATATCACTCATAAAGAAGCTCTGGCCGTCGGTCAATGTGGTCCAAGATCCCCGATTCAAACCACAATCATCTGTTCCCTGTGGTGGTCCGCCGCCCCGTCAGGTCGTCTCCTGCGCGTCCGAACTGATGGAGAGCCGGTCCGACCGGTCTGCCGTGATCCAGTTTCCAGTCTGTGTGTGGTTTGGTCCCGGTGGTTCACACGGTGGAGGGCTTCATCAGAGCCTGATCCCCAAACAGCTGCTTGAAGTGAACCACGTGCTCCTCACAGTGCTCTCCTGGTAACACACACACACACACACACACACACAGGTTTGGTCCAATGACTGAAACCAACTTCTTCATTACTGAGAAGAAGCAAACGAACGTTACAGAGTGCGTCAATAAAAACTAACTAATAACAACCACATTTTATATTTAATATTCCTCCCTTGCATCCTGGAAAACCTGGAAAT